TGTGTGTGTGTGTGTGTGTGTGTGTGTGTGTGTGTGTGTGTGTGTAGGGGTAGGGGCCCAGGAGCAGAAGCTGATCTTTCGGTGGGGGCCTTTTCCCAGGAGATTGCAGGCAGTCTGGAGACCGCGCACTGAGCCTGCTGCCTGCTGAGGATGCTCCCTCCTGCCTGGCTGTGTCCTGGATGCTCAGTCCCTTCTCCAGCTCCAGAGACACTCCCAGGCTTCAGGTCTCACTGGGATCTGCCTTTGTTGGCACTTGGCTGGTCTGTATCTTGAGGCTGGGTCCACAGTTCCATCTCTCTAGCTCTGCCCCAGCAGTGATGTCTGCAGCCTTCTGGTCTCCCTGAGGCACCATGGCGGCTACCAGCATCAGGAGATAAAGAACAAAGCCGTGTTGAGGGTTGTTCCCTCAGCCCCAGCCACTCTTCACAGAGCCCCCCACTTCTGGAGCATAGGCCAAGGCCTGTAGGGGTGGGAGGTGGTGTAGGCTGAAGACTAAGTTTTAGGTTCCAAGTTTAGGGAAAGTATCTCTTTCCCTAAGGCATCTTTTCCAACTCCCCTTGTCTCTCGTCCCCTTCCCGGTGCTCTAGCCTTGCACCCTTGACAGTGATGGTAGAAAGTCCTTTTTCTTTCACGGGCTTCCAAAAAAAGCCAAGTTGGCTTGGAAGTAGCTGTGTGCATGGGCTGGGTGTGCCTTTGTGACCTACGTGTGTTTGTGGAGTATGTGTGCATGTATGCATGACAGTGAGTACAATGCAGTGATACCCAAAATGTGAGAGCACATGGGCTTTTAGGGGGTGTGCATGCCTGTTTGATGTGTGAGTCTGGGGGTGTGTAGGCAAGGTGTGCATTTGTGTGGTGTGTCTGAGTGCGAACACGTGTGCGATGTGAGGAGATAGAGAGTGAGACATTCATGGAGCACGCACGTCCCTCCTGACTGCGGTGAGTGGACTCTCGATCATTAGGTGATCCCACTACAGGGTTTGTGGGGAGATGTCTGCCACTAGAGAATAAACACGCACTTCTGGGAGAGGGCTGTCACATCCCACAGAAACACTGCCCCTATCCAGGCTCGTGCCCACAGGATCCTGGAGCCTAAGTACCAAAAAGCAAATAAAAGCAGCCTCGTGTTTGCACCTAGGCATCCCACACTTGAAATGGTGGGACTACCCGGCTGGGTGCGGTGGCTCATGCCTGTAATCCCAGCACTTTGGGAAGCTGAGGAGGGCGGATCACGAGGTCAGGAGATTGAGACCATCCTGGCTAACATGCTGAAACCTCATTTCTACTGAAAATACACAAAGAAAGTAGCCAGGTGTGATGACGCATGCCTGTAATCCCAGCTACTCGGGAGGCTGAGGGAAGAGAATTGCTTGAACCTGGGAGGCTGAGGTTGCGGTGAGCCAAGATCGCGCCATTGCATTCCAACCTGGGCAACAAGAGTGAAATGCTGTCTCAAAAAAAAAAAAAAAAAAAAAACCAAGTGGTGGGAATACTCTTGGATGGTCTCTCTAGTTGTCACAGAGGTGTCAGCAGCTCAGGGAGATGTGGAAGGGAGGTCCTGGTGGCACCACCAAGCCTGGATGGACTTGAGAACTGAAGTCCTTGAGTGCCCTGCCCTGCCTCCTGGAGACGTCATTCCCTCCCACTGGCTTGGAGCTGGGAATGGGAAATCCTGCCTGCCAGCAACCCCCATCTGATGTACATCAAGCATTTGTTTTCCATTTCCCAGATCACTAGTGGAGATCAAGCCCTGATGTCAGCTGAGGGTTGGGGGTTGGGTTTTCCACTGGCAAGAAAGTGGGGTGGGAGTAGGGAGGGAAAATGGAAACTTGGACTGAATCCAGCCTTGGATTCAGGTGGGGGAATCTCTGGAGAGCTGGCCAAGCCTCTGGGCCCTGCCTGTTCTTCAGGCCCTAAGGTTCCAGCCACTGCCATCTCTTCACCTCCTTCCAGGAAAAGGCCGGTTGTCCTAACCCCGCTGTCCCCGAGCCACATTCTGCCGCTAAGCTGCTCCAGGAATGTTAGGAGGCATGCCGGATTGGGGCGCCTACTCAGCCTCCTTTCCAGTGTGGGGGCTGTTCTAGGGCTGTGTGGTGAAAGACCTGAAACATTCCCTGACAGAGACTCCCCGTGTTCCAGGCCTCTCTGACCTCGAAAGAGAAAGTCAAGGTGCAGTGGCAGGATGGAGCTGGGAGGTGGGCTGGCCGCTGGGATGTTGGGTCGGAAGAATGGGGCAGACTTTTGGGCACACCTGTGGGGGAGCAGATGCTGCTGCAGCCAACCAGAGGTCTCAGCTCCTCACTCCCAGGGCGATCTGTCTCCTCTTATGTCTGAAGCCCCAGAGTTGGGGAGGGTGGGGTCAGGGAGTAGAAGTGGGGGGAGTAGCTGCAGAAAATTAGAAACAGGCTCTGCTGAGTGAGCAGGAGCCACCAGGACCACCCCTCTCCTCATCCCCCACCCCTCAATCTCTTTCCCTTAGGTCCCCCGCCCCCTTCCCTACTACCTGGACAATTCCAGCCAAACCAGGGGAGGCGCTGCTGGAGCCTGGGAGCAGCAACTCAGTGGGATTGGCCTCCGGGGCCCTTACACAGTCTCTAAAGTGCAAACAACATATTTTCGCCATGCGATAGTATTTAATTACTCATAAAAACAGAGCCATTAAACTGAAATTAAACCCTCATTGGAATCACTTAATTCAGGGCATGACAAATTGCTTTCAGTGGAGGCGGCAGTCCCCGGGGAAATCAGCGGCGTCCACGGCTGGCTGGGTCCCCTGCTTCCCTTGGTCTGCTTGCCAGCTCTAAATTCTGAAATTGGGGTCAGAACTCTTTGTCTAAGACCACCCAAGCCAAGGGGAAGCCTCTAGTTTGTTCAGGAGGGTAGGAAGGGAGGTTTGGGGAGTCACAGAATCCCTGTCATGCCCGGTTTTAGACAACCCGGTACATTTTATTGATGGGGAAGTCAAGGCCCAGACACCTAGGTCATCCAGAGCCAGGATTAGAACTCTGGCACTAAGCCGTAACCAGAGAGGCTATTTTTTTCTCAGGCTTGTGTCCTTGGGCCTGAAGACAGAGGTTGAGGTTGGGGCTGCATGAGTAAGGGGTAGGAACCAAGGCAGACCCTGGACGGGGCTTCTCCAGAACTAGGTTCTCACCTCGTCAAAGTCTGGACCTGGTGGGGAAAGGAAAATGGATGGCCTTGGGGTTCGGGCTGTCGAGGCAGCCGTCCCTTCTGGTGGGCAGCCTGGAGCCCAGACTCTGGAATCAAGCAGACCTGGGTGCTGAGCACCTGAGTGAGGTTGGGCAGGTAAGACCTTTTGCTCCTGTGAGCCTCCATTTTCCCATCTGTCAAATGGGAATGGTAATTCCTGTCTAGAGTTGTGGAGACCGTTATATGGGCGTGATGCACGAGCAGGCTTGGGGCTGAGCTCACTCAGTTCTGTTAGACTTCCTTCTCTGGACTTCAGTTTCCCCATTTATAACAAGATCCAGCTGGGACCCGAAGGCTTCTAGAGCCTCTGCTTGCTCTTTTTATGTTTGCAGTCCTTCTTCCTCCCTCTAGCCCCTTCCTTTCCTTCCCTTTTCTTCTTTCTTCTGTGGGCTGAATGTCTAACTCTGGCAGAGGTCTGGGTCTGTGGTCAGATGACTGGGTAGGAAAGGGAGGCCCATGCCCCCTAAAGTTTCCCTGCCCCCTATGGCCCCCCATGGCTGTGTGTGGGGCCCATCTGGAGGGTGAAAGGAGACCAAATGGGAAAGGGGCCGCACTCAGGGAGGGCGTGGGGGTGCTGCAGTGCGGGCCGGCTCCTCGTTGCCTGTGGCCTCCCTCCCCATGTGTCCTCTCTGAGAACCTGTTCTCCTGATTGGAACCAGATGGGTCCGCTGCGGCTAGAGGCCTAAGCCGTCTACTCACTCCATGTCCTCCCCCAGGAGCAGAGGCAGGGGCAGACCAAGGGCAAGGGGAGGTGTGTGTGGGGTCCTTCTTCTGGGGCTGGGAGGGAGAGCCCTTCTTTTCTCCATCTCTCCAGGCTGTGGCCTGGAAACCTTTCTATTAGCACACAGAGGGTGACCAGCTGTGGACAGCCTATCACTGAGGCTTGGGTGGGCAGTTTGCTACCTTGCCTGATGCCACCCTCTAGAATCAGTACCCACTGCCCTCACCTCCCTACCCTGCCCACCCCTCCATCCTCACAGCTCAGCTGTAGGTTGTCAAGTGAGGGCTGACCATGCCTGACCCCTGGTCTCCTGGAGGCGCCTCAAGGTCATTTCCTTCACCTTAGCCTTCTTGGTCTTGCAGGAAGAGGGGTTCCTCCACTGGGGCTCCAGCGGAAGGGCTGGGGCTGGGCTAGGGCCCAGGGTTC